TACCGCCTTTAAGTAAGGCCACTCCAAACGGTCATAGGCCTTCATCATGTCTAATTTTAGGGCAACAAAGCGGTTCTTCTTAATTCTCCTTGACTTCATATAGTGCAAGCATTCGTACGCTGTTATGAAATTATCAGTGATAAGGCGACCAGGCACAAAGGCCGACTGCTCCTCGGAAATTACCTCTGGGAGAATGATCTTCAACCTATTGGCTAAGACCTTTGACGCTATCTTGTAGACCACGTTGCAAAGACATATAGGCCGAAATTGTCCGAGGATTTTTGGACTAGCTATCTTAGGAATCAAAATGATGAACGTGCGATTGATATCATCCGGTGAGTCATCTCCATTGAGCAATCTTATTATCATACCCTAATCTCTTCGCCACAAAGATCCCAGTGTCGCTGAAAAAAATGTGCGGGGAACCAATCAGACCCCGGTGCTTTTGTTGGGAACATTTGAAAAAGAGCTTCCTTGACTTCCTTATTAGTATAAGGTGCATTCAGCTTGCCGTTCATATTTGCATCTACCTTGACTGGGATATGAGAGAGCACCTCCTCCATCCCTATACGTCCCTCCGATCGGTACAAGTTTTCATAAAACTGGCTCGTCATCTCTGCCATCTCAGCGGCATCCGATGTAACTGTCCCGTCCGGCTTCTCTAGCCGGGATATGTTGTTGCGAGCTCTCCTAGCACTGGCCTTCCTCTAGAAGTATTGAGTGTTACTATCGCCTTCATGGAGCCAGTCTATACGGGACCTCTGTCTCATCATTATTTCCTCCCTGTATGAGATCTCTACGATCCGGTCTTGAACCTGCTTCTCTTCTTCTCCCGGTCCAGTTCGCAGGGGGTTAGCTCGCAGTTCTGCCAGTTGTTGGCGCAGCCGCCGGAGTTCTTCCCTTACTGACCCAAAGCTCGCTCAGCTCCAATGCCTCAGTGCGGAGCCAACCGAGTTTAGTTTGGCTGCTAGTTCTGTCAGGTTGGTCGCAGGTAAATCCTGCTCCCACGCATGTTTCAACGTTGCATCAAACCTGTTGTCTGTTTCCTAGCAGCACTCATATCTGAATGGTTTCTTCAGTGCAATTCGCATGTTACTAGCCTCAAGTTCATTCATCAACAGTATGGGACTGTGGTCAGATTTCGTCGCCGTGAGATGTTCAACTGAGGCGAACGAAAACAAGGATGACCAACTGGCAGTAGCTAGAGCTCGATCAAGCCGAACCCTGCAAAACTCTCCTCCAGTGACTCTCTTCTCGAAAGTCCAGTCCAGGCCTTTGTACCCTAGATCAGCCAGCTCACACACATCTACTGCTTCTCTGAAGCCTTCGATCTGAGCGCTATCTCTCTCATTTGGACCCATTTGCTCCTCGGGCCGCAGTATCTCATTAAAATCGCCGATGCAAAGCCACGTCAGTGTGCTTTCGCCCCGTAAGAATTTCATCGTGCCCCAAGTCCTGAACCTCAGGCTCCTGTTAGCTGCTCCATAAAAACAAGACAAACGCCACGGGTTTTTTCCCGGTTCCTTCACAACCGAGTCAATATGATATTGAGAAATTTTTTTAATTTCCTGATCAACATTACTCTTCCAATACAAGCACAAGCCACCACTTCTTCCTGCACTATCTACTCCAAAACGACCCGAGAAACCTAAACTACCCGCCAAACCTTCCACCCCATACTTCGCAATCTGTGTCTCCACAATGCAAAGCACCATCGGCGCACATGCCTCCACTAAATCGTGGAGCTCTCTGACTGTCGCGGGGTCACCAATCCCGCGGCAATTCCAACAAAGCGTCCTCATTGGGATCGGCGGTCCTCACCAACGGAGGCCGCCTGATCATCAGTTACCATGACATCATCATTCACAACTCCATCTTGCCTTCTCCTCTTTACTATCGGGGCTTTCCCGGGGGTGCTAGAGGCCCCAGAATTCAGTTCGTTGTCATTGTTTTCCAGAAGAAGAACGGTACCAGCAACTCTGCCAGCCATATTTGGGAGCACTTGACCCCTTATATTCACCGTCCCATCTGATAAGACAAGCCTTTTGCGCGCACTGGGATTATCAGTAGAAGGTTCTTGCTGGGTGTGGCCCCCGGTGGTATCATGCATAGCCCCCTCTCCTCTAAAACCCTCACGTCCTCCTCTTCCTTGCCTTCCACCTCTTCCCCCTCTTCCTCTTGATCTGCCTCCTCCACCTCGTCCTTCCATAATTCCTCCTCCTCCTGACACAAAGGTCGGTTGCTCCGAGCCCCAAAGAAGCCACTCGCCCCACTCGCAGGTGCGAGGATCATGTATGCCGTCTCCACACTCCTCCACTATATGGCCCATCAGGCCGCAGAAGAAACAAAAGTCCGGCAACTTATCATGAAAGACAGGATATCTTTCTAACCCCCTTAGGGTAATCAGCACAAACCTCACCAGAGGCGTGCTTACATCCACAAAAACTCTAACTCGCAGGGCATTAGCTGGATTGATCTTTCCTTCATTGACAATGACCGTAAAAGGCGGTTCACCAACCTTGGCTGCTATCTTCTCTGCCAGTTCCTTCTTCGCTGTCAAACCATCCGGTAAGCCCTTGATTCTGGCCCACAAGGGGACCTTGTTCAACTTGTATTCTGAAACATCAGTAAACCCATCATATTTTACTTAGGCCGAATTTTATTTTAACAAAAACTACAGGCCGGCCGAGGCCTTTAGGCCCGTGTGAGGCGTTTAGCCTTTTTCTTCTCTGTTTCGTTTATTTTCGTCTACGTTTAATCCCATATTGCCTAGCCTTTGACCTTTTAGCCTCTTTTCCATCTATAAATATAGATCCATAGAGCCTTCAAAAATCATCCAATTCGGGTTAAATCAATATATTTTGGTTTGACTAGATTCACTAAAAAAAAATTCTCCTCTCCGGCGGAAATTCTGGAAGTCGTCTTTTCCTACCTTATAAAGGTATCTTTCTTCGTATTTTTTTATATAGATACTCCGTAGCTTATTAATTTTAGACTAGTACGGTAGAATTAGATTTATAAATTAGTCCCTGTATTTACATTTTAGGACTAGTCATAGCCTTTCTTATTTCGTAAAACAGTTTGGCCCTGATTTTTCAAATAGCCATAACTTTTTACTCGTTCATCCAAATTAGATGAAACCAGCGCCTACATTTTCGTCTTGATTTCACCTATCCAGCGAACCTATCCCAATAACTTTTTGAAATTTTCAAATTTCGAAATTTATTCAGATTCATACCCAAAATTCTTTTGATCATATCTTTTTATCCGTACCTCCGTTTTCGATGAAACCAACGCCTAAATCTTCGTAATGATCCTCTCTGTCCAGTAAAGCAACTTGAACATGTTTTTGACAATTTACTCTTGTTTCGTCTGTTTCTCGAGTTTCGTAACTCCGTTTGAGTTGATTCTTTTTGCAAATCGAAGCTCTTGACCTAAACTTTCTGATAAGGCCAAATTCACTTAATTTTGGTACTGTTAGAAATTGTTTTATGTTGCAAGAGTAAATTGTTTGTTTTCGAAGTTTTCCAAGATCTTCTCTTTGATTCTTTTGCACAAGTGCTTATGTATGCAATTGCTTGCTTGCGATAGATTGACCGGAGTGTGATGAGTAGAACTATCAGAAGTTATGAGTGCGAATCATCTTCATCAACCGTACACGCAAGTTCACACTTTGATCATATCCCTTCATTACCCAGTTTTTATGCATTAGTTTCAACACTCAAACATTGCATGAGTAGGATTGATTATATGTGGGTATTGGGAAGTAGTTGAAGAGGTAGAACCTATTATCCTTTATATCAAAACCCCGGGAGTTACTACGTTATGCTTATACTGATGCTCGTAGACGTGGTTTGGTTTGAGTGATTCATGACAGATGTGAGAGTCTCTACTTCTAATGTCTCAGTTGGTAGGTCGCATTCTGGGTTTTATTTTCATCCCACCTCATCCGGTTTTTTTGGTACCTATTTTGGTACCTCCTCCCACCTCACGCTGAGCCGCCATGAACCAAAAAAAACTCATACCGAGTCCCCACCCGCCCCCGCGGCCTAACCTCCAATCGCACCAAGACAAGCGAAGAAAAAAAATCTACAAATATTAACCAGCGAAAAAAACCCTACAAAAATTAACCAGCGAAAAAAAACCATGACAAGATCGTGCGCGCCCTACGAGCGAGGCCTCCTGCCCTCGAGCGCCTATTGACGCACGCCCTAGATCAGATCCCGCCGACGACTGCCCCTCCTCATCGTCCCCCCGCCGCCCCTCTCCTTCGATATGATCTCCTTGGCGCCCCGCCGTCGCCGGCGACTCCTCGGCTCCTCGCAGTCGCCGTCACATCAGACGCCGGCCACTCCTCTGCGGCCTCACGCTGTCGTCCTCTCCTTCGCAAGGAACACCCGACCCTTCCTCCGCGGCCTTGTGACGCCGACCACTCCTTCGTGGCCTCACGCCGCCCTCCTCTCCCTCCTTCCTTCGTCCAAGCCCAGGACTTCCCCTCCCTGACCCGATCTGACGGAGAGAGGGCCAAGCCTTGCCACTCCGATGGTCACTTTGGCCAAATCCGGTTGGGGGAGCCACCGTAGAGCCTCAACGTCGGCGCAGCAGCAGCAGTCCTTGCGACGGTGGGTGCCGGAGATCGTCAAGCAACTCGCCGTCGGCGGCCACGACCACCTCATTCCCTGCCGTGCGTCTCCGTCAACTACTGTGGCATTGACGACAGCGAGTTAGGAGCCTACGAGGTAGACGCCCTGCTGACTATGTCGTCAAGGCCTCCACATGGCTCCTCTTGTGGCAGACTGCTGGTTGTTTGCCATGTCCTTGATCACCCTAATTTAATCCAAGTCAGGGTAGTCTCGTGCATTAAGCCATCTGGCTCTGCTCTGCAATTTCTCGAGAGAACATTGTGGAGAACCTAACTCATGGATATTTGGTTCAGTTTTTGGGATGAATTGATGACAAGGAGAGCACGTTGGAAATAGTGGAAGTGAAAACGGGAGAGGATGATGGGAACGATCAAGTACATCACAATCATCGGCTTCATGTGGCACTCCTACACCAACGCAATTCAGGTTTGATAATTGGTGAGATATACCATGCCGTGGTTTATACTCTTACTACTTGTTATCAATTCACTTGGCCGGGTGAAACCCCATGCAAGATTATCACTTTCCCTTGTTCAATAATTTCTGGATTAGTCACTGAATCTTGTTTGGTTTGGTCTTTGGTTCTGTGATTAGATGAGGGTGGGTGCCATGGTCGTCTATGCTGGGCTTCTGCATGATCACATCTTCCACATGTTCGGTGCTAGAGTGGCTGATCTTGTCGAAGGGTTACGTTTTCCTCTTCTCATGGATTTTGACCATTGTTTTAGAGGGATTCGGATAATGGTTCTGGTAGTTAGTACATTCATATTCTTTGGCATCCTCAAGCTGTTGGCTGGATCTATTGCAATTGTTGTGATTTAAATTATGATGGCCTGCAGCATGCCTCCCTATATTTAAGGCAAATGATAATGGAAGTGCACCTTCATGAACAAGCTAGCCGAGGTCTTGGAATTCCAACCTAGGTAAACAAGTGAACTCATTTAACGGTTTCCCCTTTTCTGGTGATGCAGGTATAGCTCATTCATTAAGGGCTACTCAGCTCTGTCTTTTTCTCTCTCTTTGGTGATTGGATTATATGCAACTCTGTGTTGAAGGATCTGTTCATGCTAAATTTAACAAATCTTGTCATGTTTTCATAAATTATCTATTTGATCACTCTACGTGGAATGGTAAACATTTGTAGCATGATCAGGGTTTGATTATTTTTATCAGTGCACATACCTTCAGAAAATAAACCAATGGGGCTATCTTGTTCGTCTTTCTACTTATGTATGTATACATATGGGATGCTTTGTTAGTTCTGTTGTGCAAATAATCATTCTTTGTGTTGATGAGCTATGATAATGGCTCCCCAAATTACAATACTTGCTAAATGTACACTTTGTTGCGATGAAATCCTATTTATAAACAGTATATTTTCCTAATGGATTGTGATTAAACTTTGTTGCTTTTACCCACTTTGGTGCTTCTTCAGTGTATATGTACTAAATCGTAAAATAAGATGATTGTATATTTTGCTTTATAGTACACCGGTTCATGAGAAGAATGCTGAGAAGATTCAGCTTGCTGTGCTAAATGTCATTCTGGCTTGACTCGATAATATCGTGGTAACATGGTGGAATATTTTATTTTTTATTGTAACAAACTGTAGTCAAATTCATCAGATATATATATATACTTCCAGGATCGGAGGAACAAGTAGTTTTAGCCTTCTGTTTTCGAATTCTTAGTTTAACATCTCTATACTTGTTGAAGCTGTATCTTCAACTCTACATGAGCATAGTGATATGCAGTATAAAACATCTCCATTTTTTCCTTCTTTGATGAGCATGGAATATCCAAATTGACATCTAGAGATAGATAAGTTGGTAGGGTAATGTTCACTAGCTTTTTTTAGGATCAAGATTGATGTGTTAATTTTCTTATCAAAGGATGATTAACGGAATCGTGGTATTGTGGCCAAAATATACTCTCTTCAGTTTGTTGGTAATGAGCAAAATGTAGTCCTACTGTTAATGGGCTTTGGATTTGTGCGTGAAATACATTGTTGCATGCATGTTTCCTAAGTGAAAAATGTAATGGTTCTGAATATAGCTGGAGATGAATTATTTGCAGCATCCAGGCAATAACAGTGGCATGGATACAGTTAACAGTACTAGCAATTGATGATATTGTCATAGCAATTTTAATTTGGAAAAAATATGTGAGAGATTAGTCTTTTCTTTTCTTTCATGCAATGAAGAGAGTACAAAGTATACTACAATTTTTTGTAACCCACACAATGATTCAAGAAGCAGGGCCAAACAGGACCAATGAAGACGCATACAGTACTGTTCTTCATGATATGATGTTATTTTTTCCCCACAAATGAATTTAATATTTAATTCTTTGTGAGACAACTACTAAAATGAAGTAGTTTATGGGTTTGAAAATTCCATGTATTGTGCATATTTTTATGTGCGTACTTGACTCAGATGCAAGCTGTTCGCAGTACGTGTATTCTGAAAGAAAACATGACGTAGCTGCTGAATGCTCTCTGAAACATAGCATATTTTTTAAAATACTCTATTTGCTTTGAATGAGGTTGCCTTTTGCTTTAAACAATTAACTGCATTCTGAAATACTTTTAAATTTGGCTAAGATTAAGAGATCTAGCAAATGAGTCCAAGTCTCAAAACCAGGTGCATCTAGAGTATTTCTCCTCCACGGCGGGTTGTCCATCTCCATATATAGTGGAGTGTTGCTCTTTCAAAAACATCTGGTCTATTTGAATGGCACATTACTGTTCCGAGTCTCCAAGAACCAGGTACATCTCTCTTGCCTTAGCCTCTTCTGATTATCCTTCCTGTTATTATGTAGGAAGCAGATTACCAACCTTCCAAGCTCTATATTCAGCCTTCCTTTCTCATTGCTCATACAAGTTCAATATATGAACATTCTTGTTACACTTAGTCCTTCCAGTTTCTTGAGATAACCATGTCTCAATTTTTTGAACAGCTACAGTACCTGTACAGTAAGAATCGAACTGCAAAGGAGCTGTACCATCTGTTGTTTCATGACTCCCTTATGCCCTTGCGAGCAGCGGCCACCATTGGGCAGGGACAGAGCCATTGAGCACCCTTGCTCGGTGGTCCACCACCCTTCTCGCCTCCCGTTCGACGCCTCTTCTCCACACCCCTTCATTCGATGTGCTTCGACTCATGATGTACCAGAGTGGAGTCAGTATAGATATCAGAGGTGCACATGGGGTCCTCTTTAGTTTTTTTCCTTAATTGTTAACCATCTCCAATTTTATGTCAACTCTACTTATTCCAGTTTCATAGTTGGAGGTATTAGATAATACATCAATTTATATCTATCGCCCTAAAGAAAATGTACATTGCTGATACAAATAATCTTTATTTTGTTTACAAACATGTAATGAAATCTACACTACGAATAAGAAGACTGAAGTATAGGACGCGCTCAGGGGTGTGCGGCAGCCCATGGCGGGCAAGGCGTGCTGCAGTGGGGTTATGGCAGCATTATGGTCATGAGAGAGCTAGCATGCTCTTTGGTATAAATTAGTTACCCTCCTGTGGGGTTATTTTTTATTCTAAGTATTAACATGCCTTCAAAATAATTCTGTAATAGGTATATAATTACAGGTTGTTGTGTGAGCTGCACCTAAATTGAGAACTGAAACTGCAATGAATTACTTGAAACTTGGTGTCCTTATATTTGCCCCATTTGTTGAGGTTCAGTTTGACTAAAATGGACAGACCATGAGCTCCTTTAGGAACTTGTTGGGAAATGTCGCTTGTGTGGAGAGGCTGGAAATACGAAGACAAGTATGTGTTTGATTATTTTGAAGCTATTTAACATATTAGTGGTGTCAACGAGGGTAAGTCCAGGTTCCACATGTCAAGCTATATTAGTTTTTTCGCAAAGAAATTTCTCTTTATACAACAAGACAATACTTATTTGTGATTTTGCATGCCGTCGTGGAATTCTAGCGAACATGTCAATTTGTTCGTGATTTCGGACGTACAGTATTTGGGTCCCATGCACAAGGAGACGTTGATAAGTTACTTCGGATATACATATAGACCGAACTAAATATGTATTTAGAGATTATAAAAGTGTGTGTTGTTTTGCAATAGTTTTAACCCACTCAACTGTATTATAAATGTGCAAAAAAAAAATCTGGCCCGGTGGCAAAGCAGAGTATTTAGCTAGGTGAGCTATAGACCAGGAGCTGGTGGGTGGTAGGGCAAGCACGCCGCTTCTCCTCTCTGTCTCCAGAGAGGCGCGTGCATCGAAAAATGAACATATCTGAGCCATGTGCCTTGCTTCTACTGATTTCTATAGAGATTGGCTCGCTTAGATTTTAGACTAGGCGGTTGCTGTTGAGGTCGCCAAGGTGATCCTACAGCACTGCCATGGGGATTGTTCATGATTCTATCTGGACAAGCGGTGGTGGTGATTGGTAAAAGCAAGCAAGATCCGATGGTGCTGCTGTGGGGATAGCCAAAGTCAAGACTTCGACTACGAACTCGTCGCAACGAACCTGGACGCTACGAGCCTGATTCATGGTGGTGTTGCCTTGGGGAGAGACAAAGTGAAGGTAAAAGCAAGCAAGATCCGATGGTGCTGCTGTGGGGATAGCCAAAGTCAAGACTTCGACTATGAACTCGTCGCAACGAACCTGGACGCTACGAGCCTGATTCATGGACCAATGGAGGGTCTTGACGCTGTTAGGGTTGGGATAGGATGAATGTGGAGGGTGACGTGCTTGGTTGAGTGCCCCTCGAAGATTGTGTCCTCCCCGTGGACCTGTTTGTGGCCATCGTAGAGGAGATTGTGGCCCTTCCCTGATGAGCAAGAACAATGTAGGCGGCAGCAGGAGGTAGGGGTGGATGCGGGGATGTATGTTGATGGTTTCTCGAGGTTGCGATGTGGAAAGTCAAGAGCACGAAGTCGAAATCGGATAGGAGTTTAAGTTCTTGTTGGCCGTGGCTGGCTCCCACTTTAGTGATGTATTTTTTCAGTTTGTTGAAGTTCAGTTTTTTTAACCTAGATTGCCATTCGCAACATGATTTAGGTGACCCAGAAGTTCCCTTTCATCATCATTTATAGAGCGTTCAGAGTTCCGAGCTCTGTCGACGTCGCCAGCCTTGTGAAATGCCAACTGGTCGTCGCTTCTTTCGGTGGTAATTCTCGATTCTTTGCACCCTTACATGCAGATTCAGAGATGAGTGTCAAGGATATGTCGAATGATGAATATATTCAGATACTAAGAAAGGTTCTAAAATGTGTTTTGGCAGGTTAGTCCTGATCGTGCTTATTTTTAAACCCGAAACGTTCTTTATCATTGGAGGGTTCTCTATAATCCCATAATTGTGAAGTCAATTGCTTAATTTGATTGAGAGTACTTAAGTTAATGCACATGTTTATTTTTCTATATCGTATCTTAACTGCTTGGACTCTTCATGTACACTAAATGTGAAACTCATTATGATTTGGAAGTGCCTGATAGCTTGTGACATAATTGATGTAGTTTATCAATCATGCAATTTGTTGTTAGCAACATGTACCAGATTTTGGTAATTTCCATTTGAATATTGTTTTTTGTTTTCATATATCCTAGATCATACTAAGATACTAAGAAATTCCTTACTGCATTAACATTGGCATCCATGGTTACTTTTCTTTGTATATGAAAAATGTAGATAAAATGTACATCCTCTAGCTCTCATGCGTTTTAGTCTCTCTTTTCTCTTTATGTTGTATCACCAATGGTGCGCGCGAGAGAGAGAGGGAGGGAGGGAGCGATGGAGAGGGAGAGGGAGAGGGGTCTAAATGATTGTATCCGTACCAGTTTCATGTTTCCATGCATGTCATTATACTCATAGAAAACAGTATCTTCATGTGGCAAGTATCTAATGCATATACATGAGTTTTATTGTTTAGTGTTTTCACATACTAATATATTCATGTTTTTTTTTGCATTATAGAGTGCTAACACGCTACATTGGAGAGAAAGCGTTGAGAGAATGCTTTGTTTGGATGATAAACATGAATAATCAATCCTCATTCCAAGGTTAGATTTGTACTTCCTGCCCAGTTCTTTTACACAAAGGACCAAGCCTCTTACTTTATCCATTTCTTAATTTTGTTCCTTCACAGAAAAGCATTTTCTCATTTCAATCTTTCTCCATTTGGTATGAGTATGACACACGCTCTGAATTTTTGACTATTCTTGGTTGATTAATGGTTGGTGTATTGCCTTCCACTTTGGATTATTCTAAATCTTCTTGCTTAGGCTATGTGTACCCTTCTGTCATGTGCCACCATCGATCTGAGCAAAAATCAGTGTAGATGAACCGAGCTATTTTATTATAAGCTGTGTACATAACTTCCTGGAAAGATAACCATGTAGTTATTGTTTTATGTCGTATATATTCAGATAGGTGAATTATCACAAGTTGGTCCCGGTATGTTAATAGGATTGTGCCAACCTAGAGTCTTTTCAGATCGTGCCAACTCTGTTTGGGGTTTCCTTCTACCTAATCAAGGCTTAGTCCAGTTTGTCTTGTCCTTATCTCCTTTTCTGTCATAAATTCTTCATCTATTCAAGAAGCTCATTTTTGTTAGTTGGAACAACTGAAAAAATCATACTCCCCTTCCTAAATATAAGTCTAATTGTTTTTTCAAAAGTCAAACGAGTGCATGTTTGACCAAGTTTTTAGAAAATATATCGATATCCACTATACCAAATTTATATCATTCGATCCGTCATGAAAAGTAGTTTTATATTTTATCTACTAGGTTTTTCAGATGTTGATATTTTATTCTATAATCTTGATCAAACATTCAAATGGTTGACTTGGAGGATATCAATACACCTTATTTTCTGGAATGGAGGGAGTATCATTCTTGTTGTGACGGACAAACAGAAAGAAAGGTCCGCAAAGAGTGCACTCACAAAAGCCATGTACTGTAGACCATGAATGATTACCTTGAAAGCTTTCTCATCGAGGCCATAGTTCCAAACTATACCATCATTTAAGAAACATTCAATCAGAATTGGAGGAAATGCCATCCATTGGGGTTCTGAAGTTCTGAACTTTGATCTCTCTATTTGAATCGTTGTTATTATTTTGTCTGTTGGCCATGAGCAAAGAATCTGGAGAGTGCCTAATGTTCCTCAACTTTTCTTATGTTCCAAATTCACTATTAGTGTTGATCATCTTCAAAGAACAGAAAACGTATGACAGGATTAAGGTTGTAATTTGTGCTCTCTTTTTTCCAAAATTCACTGCTTGATTAATTTTGTTGTAGAAGCTTGAGAGAAAAAGATAGTAAATACATAGTAACTTTACATTGATTTAAGAGTAATAGCAACACACCTGCTTTTAACTATATATAAATAGGACGTGGATTTTTGGGACATGCGGCTACGCGCTGCCGTTATCACGGTCGTCCGGCGACGCGTTGTGATTACTACTCTTAATAGCACTTTCGCAATACGCGCGCGCCTGGAGTCGCGCATGGCACGAATACGCGCGTTATACGCCCCGGCCGCACAGTCACATTAAATGAATCTGACGAGAAAAAACAAAAACGCCCGGTCCCACACGGGGGGATGGATTAACTCCCTCGTCCTTCGGTGGATGCGCATAGTTGAATCATCATCGCCCCCGCAACAGCTGCCCCCAGCGCGTGCCTGAATTTGCTCCCCGCGACGAACAGAGGAAGGAGCGGCGATGGGTTCCTCGCAGACGGAGATAAGGTTAGCATGCCGGACCCCCGCGCCCTCCCCCTCATCCATGTTCTTGGTTCTCTGTTAAACTAGCGCGCACGCATGTCTTTGGTCTCGACGACGCTCGTGGGGGCTGGTTGTGGATCTGAGCCGTTGAGCGATACCCTGCGCTTGGATTTCCAGCCAGATCCAGATTTTCTTAGCAGACACACGGGGATGCTTGATTCTCTACGGGAGGTGACATAGGACCACCCAGTCGGGGCGTTTGCAGATTTGTTAGATTTAGTTGATGTTCGTCCACCGGAGGAGCAGATTCAGAGGGATGAAAACAAGTATGTTGCCCTTGATGACAAGGTGGGATGGGTTAGGAGGTAAGTTAAGTTTTCGTGTTATAGGAATTTTGCCTCGTTCTCTGAACACCAAAGCTGGGTCCTAAAAAAACCATGTGTGCATTTGTCTATCAGGAACAGAAGAGATGGCATGCCTGACGAGCGGACAACAAGCGCCGGAAGAGTGACCATGTGTGCATTTGTCTGCATTTTGCCTCGTTCCCATGCATGCAAATCATAGAGAACGCGGGCTGATGCTCACCGGCGACGGACAACAAAGGAGTCAACGGGCAAAGAGATTTCTCCAACTTGGTGCTGGCGATTTGAGATTGACTGTGGTGTTGCTTCCACAGGTGGTGTGGCCGGTCAATTTATAAGCGGTCGTCTACTGCGTAGCCGGCCTCTAGAAGAGTCGTTGCGTTGATGGAGCATTAAATGATAGACGGGTGGCTTTATGATTTGCAGGGCAGATGGAGGAATTGATTTCATTGGCAGTGAGTTAACTTCGCCATGACTCGTTTGATAATTGCATCTGGGCGCGCGTCGTGGGCGGCATGCAAGCAATGTCCAGCATGCCTAGAAAAAGAAACTCAGTGC